AAATGTTCCAAAATTAGACTGTGCTGACAGCTGCACACAACATTGCAGGTTTATTAAAAATTACTAAATTATACATGTAAATTTTTATGTGGATTTTTTGATTTTTAAATTATAGTTCTTTATTCAAGCTGTTTTTTAAAAACAGATAGAAGCAAAAAGGCAATCCTTTATCCATAGGCTGGTATTTAGTGTGTCATTTATGCATTAATCCAGGAAATACTACCTAGTACTACTATGATAGATGCTAGAAATCTAAAGATGACATAGACCCTGGCTGCAAAAACTAACTCATGGCGTGGAGGGCAGAGATAATGAATAAACCGTATGTTAGGATAATTACCAAATCAGCAGAGTGTATGCACAATGCCATGGGAATTCAGAAGGAGCAACTAATATTACCTGGGGGAATCTGGGAAAGTTCCACCAGGAGATGATGGTTGAGCTAAGTGCTAAACTGTTAAACTCGGCTAAGTTAGGCTCACCAAGAGAGAAAAGGAAGGAGAGCACACTGAACAGAGAAAACAGTGATGTAAAAGCCCAACAGGCTGGGGCATGGCCTGACTATAGAAACTCTGAGTAATTCAGTTAGGCAGGTGCATAGTATGAAGAGGGGACATGCATGGAGAGGAGCTCTATCTTCAGCAAAGCTACAAAAGGTAAGCTGGGGCACATCCCAAAAGGCCTATCTATATGTGTCATTAGTAAACTTTGGTTCTACTTTGTAATCAGTGGTTGTCAATCATAGCCCTTTGGCTGTAAAGAGATGCAGTAAATTATAAAGCTATAATCAAAGTAAAATGAAGAACTGAACAAGAAGATACACCAGGAGAGAATAAACAGAAATGCTGAGGAGACTTTAAATATGGGAAGGTATTTGCAGGTAGGAGGAGGTCTTAAAATTTTAGAGTGTAAGGTATAGCAATGCCTAAGTCCAAGAGACAGATCTGAGCTCACAAGAGCAGGGACAAGGACAAAGCCAAACCTAAGGCCTATCCGGTTTGTATCGGGCCATCCCCCAGCCAGCCCATGGGGATAGAAGAGGAAGAGAAGGGGGAAACCACCACACTGGGATCTGCGATGAGACCCCCAGGAACTGATCTCAGGACCAGGACAGGAAGTGGACATCTATGGTGGACACATTCCCCCGTTCCCACATTCCTCTTCTGGGAAGACCAAACCCAGAAAACTCTTCCCTAAAAGTGAGCCTAAAAAGTGAGGCATCTACTCTGAGTTAAAGTAGTGGAGCTCCTTGTTTACACAGTTTGATCCAAGAGAAGGATAAAACTCAATCTGGATGGAGAAGCACAAAGTCTGATGGTTTGTAAGGAAAATATTTGTGCTACTTCTCAAGATGCAGATTTGTAGTTCGTGACTTAAAAAAAAAATACTTCAGGGCAACTCTCAACACTAGTATAGAAGTCTTAGTTTTCCTGGCCACCCTCCTTTTCCAGGCCCCACCATGCAATTGGAGAAACTTGAGCTTACATCCCCATCCAACCCCAAGGATCCAAGAGGAGCTTCAACTTAGGTCCAGACTAGATGAACTCACTACAAAGATGTAACCAAACTTTGTGTTCCAAGATTTCCTAGAAAGTGACTAAAGAATATACCCAGGAAAATACAGCAGCATCTCTTTCCTCCCTCTTAGAATTGCTAATTCAGAGATTTGGCTACTTGATCATCAGCTGTAGTACCTACTTCCTCTCCCTCTCCCTGAGAGACTAATCCAACAAGACAGTTACTTCAACAGGAGAGGAAAGATAAGTGTCCCTATAAGAGGTACAAGTAAAGACAGTGCTGTCTTAGAAATAAATCATTGAGATTCCAAAGACCGAAATAACTTCTTTCAACCAACCACCTCAGCTTGGAAGAGAATGAAAAAGATTCCTTCCTGACATAATGGAAGATATGGAGATGAGACCATATGAACAGTTAGAGGATCCAGAAGCTGACAACATCAGTAAACTCCTTCCAGGAACACTATAGTGGTGAATAATGTAGCAATGGATCTGGAATTTTTCAAAGGAATTCTATCAACAATAGATATCATACCAATGCAGAATACATGTCATTCCTACTCATAATTTGGGGATGACAGTGGAGCATGCTGAAAGTAGCTTCTCTGTGAAAAGAGAGATGGGACACCAATAAGTTTTCATTCCCCATAACATAATTTCTGTGAGGCACACTGTCCTTTCACCTTGGATCTATCTTTCCTTCCTAGCTTATAAAGTATGTATATAGTTTGAATGCCTTGTGGTAAGTATTTTGGTTCCATTTACTTCCTGGCTTCAAGAAGCAGCAGCACTGTTTTATGGAAAGTGTAGATGTTTTAGAAATTATGATCAATGATTGGGTAAGACCCAAAATCAGTATTTTGCAGGGAAAAAAAGGAGGAATGAAGAAATGTAAATAGAGCTCAGTAGCTTTGGTTTTGGTTATCTGGGGAAAGTAAAATCATTAGGCTGGGGTACATATACTAGGTATTTTTCTGCTTTTTAGAAATTAACTTTTATTCTCTTTGGAGAGAGTAGTGGAAGGAAACTCTGACGTGATCTTTTCACTTTCAGTTCCAAATAAATGTGTATATAAATAAACCTACTAGAATTTGGATATGCATGCCAATGATAAATAATACGTTTTAAAATGCAAACTCCTAGAGAGGCAAACCATGAGAGACTCTTGAATGCTGACAAAAACTGAGGACTGATGGATGTGGGGGGGAGGGAGGATGGGCATGGAGGAGGGCACTTGTGGGGATGAGCACTGAGTGTTATGTGGAAACTAATTTGACAATAAACTATTTGTAAAAAAAAAAAAAAAAAATGCAAACTCCTTTTCAGGTGAAATTACATATGGCGGCAGAGTTACAGACACCTGGGATCAAAGATGCCTTCGGACTGTCTTAAAAAGGTTTTTTTCTCCTGAAACATTAGAAGAGGATTATAAATATTCTGAATCAGGTGAGTGACTTTCAATATTATGGAAAGGACCTTTCCAAGAAGTCATGGACAGCATCTCTCAGTTTTCCATCCAGGCGCTCTTGTGGGCCAGTCATCACAACCCAGTCCCCTCGCCCACCCACACCATCCCCATGCTTGACCACCTCCAAAACTGGCTTGGCAGTAAAAGCACAAAAATGTCACTTTGAATCATTTGAATTGAATTGTTCTAAAGTGGGCTCTATTTGGTCTAGATGTGTGTTCAAAGTTATATAAATTTAGAGCCTTTCATAAGGTATGACTTTCAGCAGCACATCCCTGGATTCCCAGTCTTGAAAGGTCCCTGAGGAGACACCCTGAAATGTTAGGACACTAATCACACGCTCAAGGCCTCAAGAAAAGGGAGAGGGACCAGGCACAGTAATGAAAGTTAGGAGGGTGGGGAAAAACAATCCCCTTTTCTATGGAAGGCAGTTGCTTATAGCCACCACCTGAACAGGCAGAGGAGGACCAAACTTGGTGGTACAAAGCTAGTCTATTTGAAATTATTTGCCTTCTGTGTTTTCAATAAACAGGCATCTATTTTGCACCCGTGGCTGATACCCTACAAGAGTTTAAAGACTACATTGAAAATTTGCCTTTAATGGATGACCCAGAAATATTTGGAATGCATGAAAATGCCAACCTAGTTTTCCAGGTATGTGGCTTTTAACCTAAAATACGTTTTTGTATTTTCTATATAAACTTAAAACATCCATAATCATCTCACTAGTCCTGTAAATGATAATATCCTTAAATAAACAAAGTAAATGTTTCACCTCAATTTCAACATTCGATTCCAGTTTAGCCTGTTCCCTCTGGATCCTTCACAAAACCCTAAGATCATCATATATTCTTCCCTGTTACTGGCCACCTCCCTCATCTCCTGGCCTTCTACCTACTCCATAGTCTACCTGCTAGTCCACCTTAACATGGCACTTTGGATGATAATCCAGACAGTGCTTTCTCCTTCATCCTTCTCCCCCTACACTGGTCAAATATGGATATTACACAAAAGTTTATGGATCCACAGATGATTAAGTTATAAAAGTACAGTAACAAACATCCAAGGCCAAAAAAACAGTGTTCTTTAAAAGCACGGTTTATCAAGGTCACAGTACCAGATCACAACAGTAGGCCCAAAGAGCAAACTGGATCATTTCACTCCTCTAAGACCTTCTGATGCCCCACCATTACCCCAGGGGTAGTCCACGTTCCTGAGCATGGACTCAGGCACTCGAGGCTCCCCCACGACCTATGTACTACATACTTTTCCAGTTTATTCACCTTTCATGGTCAGGCATCTGTGGCTGAACCAAAGCCATGAAAGAATGTATGTCCCGTACGGCCCTGAAATACTCTACTTACTACTACTACTAGGCTGGGGACTAGGTTTGGCTTGCAAGGCTGAAGGGAATCCTCTTTCTTTTCAACTTAAATTTTGCCCATACAAGTGTTAGAAGGTGAGGTCTACCTGGATATCAAGGAATCTACATGAAACAACAATGGAACTACAGAAAAAACTCCAGGAAGTCAGTGCTCTGACACCTTATGTCATGATTCTCTACCATTAAAATTGCTTTGCTGTTCAGCAAAGAGTTACAATAATATCTTGTTTTTCATTATTTTACTTTCAGGAAGAAAAAGAAGTGGCCAAACCAAGTGTTAATATTCACTCGTATCTGACTGTTTACTCTGGAGTGGGTTGGGCCTGGGGCAAGGAGTGAAAGAAGGGAAAGGGGAGTGTGGATATAGTAAGATTTGCTGCGTCCTATGAAAAGTATAGCACTGTTGGTAGAGGTAACACTCTTGGCAATGTGCACCTAGGAGCATAGTTTTGTGTTTTCCAGTGGTTCAGAATGACTGAGAATGAGACAGCAAGCATGTAGTGAACACCGTGGTATGTTTTTCTGTCTAGCCTCCCTTTCTCCTTCTGATATTGTATGCCCTATTCCCATCTCTTTACTTTGGGACAACAGCCCCTTCCTCAAGCCAAGAAATTCTGGTAAGACCCCTTACCTTCAGAAGTGGACATATGACTCAGGTCTGGCCAAAGGCAGCATCCATCACCTAGTCACTCAAATTGGTGCAAGGAGCAGGTACATGGACCATGTTGGGTGAACAGGAGTTCTTCCCTAAGACACCAGATGTTTTACCTAATACCATATATAAAAATTAGGGGATACAAGATGTTAAGTGTAAGACCTAAAACAATAAAACTTTAGAAGAAAACAAAGGACAGAAGCTTCAGGACTTGAATTTGGCAATGATTTCTTGAATATGACACTAAAAGCACAGATAAACAAAAGTAAGAACAGAAAAATTGGGTTTCATGAAAATTTTATATTTTGAGTCAAAAAGACACTATCAAAAAAAAGAGTAAAAAGGCAACCCACAGAATAGGAGAAAATATTTGCAAATCATATACCTAATATCCAGAATATTTAAAGAACTCCTTAAAACTCAACAGCAACAACAAAAAACAAACAACCTGATTCAAAAATGGGCAAAGGACTTAATAGACATTTCTCCAAAAAAGATACACAAATAGCCAATAAGCACATGATCTCGCAAACCATGAGGTCATGACCTGAGCTGAAATCAGGAGTCAGCCACTTAACCAACTGAGCCACCCAGGCTCCCCATACTTTTCCTAATTGAAAAAAATGTTATTTAAATAAAAGTATGTTCCAGAACAGCATCCTCATTATTCTTCTTCATTTTTATAAACTTTTAAATGATTAGCTAAAAAAATTTATTCATTTTTTATTGGAGCTAAATATGTATAACATAAAATTCACCATTTTAACCATTTTTAAGTATACAGTTCGGTGGCAGTAAGTACATTCACATTCTTGTTCAACCAAAAATGTTTAAAGATAACACTGACTGCTGTGTACAACTGACCCTGAAATATAAACTGCATGGTCCATTTATACACAGATTGTTTTCAATACAGTACAGTACTATAAATGTTTTCTCTCATGATTTTGTTAATAACATTTTCTTTTCTTTAGCTTACTTTAAGAATACAGTACATAATACATATAACATAAATATTTTAACTGTTTATGTTGGTAAGGCTTCCAGTCAACAGTAGGCTATTAGTAGTTAACGTTTTTGAAGAATCAAGTTATATGTGGATTTTCAACTGTGTGGCCAGGAGGGGCAATGCCCCTGACCCCCCACACTGTTCAAGGGTCATCTGTACTGTGCATATCCAATGAGTACGTTTTACCAATTCTATCTTCAACATAAAATTTTCCTTTTTTTGACAGTTGCCATTATTTCTGTTAAGTAAACTGTGCCGCAAGTTCTTTTTTGAGAATTTGAGTCTTCACTGCTCTGTCTCTTTCCACCATTACAGTACAAAGAGACCAACACTTTAATCAACACCATACTTGAGGTTCAGCCAAGGTCATCTTCTGGTGGAGAGGGGAAAAGCAATGATGAAATTGTCCAAGAACTTGTTGCTTCAGTCCAGACCAGAGTTCCAGGTAATAAATACTCCCTGGCTTCTGTATATCAAAGGACTTTTAGAAACAAACCCAGAAAGCAGAGTGAAGAGCAGGTATCCAAATCCGCTTTATTACTAGACTTTTCTTTATGTAGAGAGCGCTTCTGACGTCGAGCCCTCCATTTATAGAGTGGAAGCCTTGAGCACCTCAACAACCCAGCTGCCAAAGGCATGAAGAGCGAGTAGGTTTCTGGCCGCATGTAACCTGACCTAGAGTCTTCCTGGGCTTCCTCATGTCTCTAGGCCTGCGCCGCCCACGGCAGTAGCCACCAGCCACGTGTGGCTACTTAAACTTCAATAAGTAAAATTTAAAATTCACTTCCTCTGTTGCACTAGCCACATTTTGAGTGCAACTATACTGGACAACGCAGATAAAAAACATTTCCATTATTGTAAAATGTTCCATTAGACAGCCCTGCTCTAGAATCTATTTCATTTTTTTCTCCATTTCAAGAGAAATGGCTAAATTAATATCACCCTGTTTTCTGGTGAGTTACGTTATCTTCCGGAATGATCACAGAGATCTACTTTCACACTTTTCTTACAGTGACTGTAGATTTACATTTCTTAAGTCTATTATAAAAGTAAACCGCGTTTCTCCCTACTCACAACACTTTGGACACCAAATGTGTGGCCTCTTCCCTTACATTAAGCAACTCTCCAACTCTCTGGACACCAACAGGGTATCCTACAATCCAGTTATGACACTAACCAGAGTTAGCGCAGACCCCACAGGTTAAGGGCTCAATCCCACAAGACCACCCTCCACTTCAGACACCAATCTCAAGTCCCAAGTTGTGACCTATACTTCTGACCTACTGGCTCAAAATCAGGTATTCCCACAAATCCCTTCTTAGGTTTATAATTTGCTATAAAGGCTCAGGGAAACACACTTACCAGTTTGATATAAAGGATATAATACAGGGTGCAGATAAACAACCCCGTGAAGAGGTACATTAGGGCTAGGTCCAGAAGAGTCCCAAGTGCAGGAACTTCTGTCCCCATGGATTCAGGATGAGCCACGCTCCTAGCACACAAATGCTCTCTAAACCCCTTCAGTTAGGGTTTTTATGGAGGCTTCATTACTACGCATGATTGATGACATCATTAGCCATTAGTGATTAACTCACCTCCAGCCCCTCTCTCCTCCCAAGAAGTCAGAGGGAAAAGCTGAAAGTTCCAACCTTTTAATCACATAGATGCTTTCCCTGACAAGGAGCCCCCCAACCTTAAGGGCTTTTCAAAGTCACCTCATTAATATAGTCTCAGTTTTATGTCATGAACAATGAAAGATGCTCCTTTCATCCTTAGCACTCAGGAGCTTTTTCAGGAGCCAGGGTCAAAGCCAAATATTATTTAAAAAGGATACTCCTATTACTCTTATTACTTAGGAAATTACAAGGGTTTGGAGACTCCAGGCAGGAAGAACCAGCGGCAAAGACAAAAATATGTATTTTTATAGCATCACAGTCCCACAGACTGATTCTTGCCAATCCTCCAAACACCCCCCAGAAGAAAAAAGCCTGTGCAACCTCAGAAGCCAGTCATCTCCTCCCAAAACAGGCCCTCAAAAGAATGCCTCCTGAGTAGAGGATTCTGTTAATGTTGAAGCAAACCGAGTCAGTTATTTTAGGAAGTGATTTTTAACAAATGTAAGACAGAGGACTGGGTGGAAACCGGATGCAGAGACAGACGGATGGCTGGAAGACCATGTACTTGGTTCACAGAGTTTCACTGACACCAGGAGACTTTTCTCTCCAAGATTAATAAAACTTATACTTGCACTGAAATAAGCAATGCCATCTTCTGAAGGTGAACAGGGATGTGACTAGTTCAATAAGAGAAGTGAGGGTTTGGAATAGCCCCTGAGTGGCTGGTAGGAGACTGGGACATGGGATGACTCAAGACTGGACTAACCCACAGGGCTGTGTCACTTTTGTATAGCAGTGAAAGTGCAAGTTCAGAAGGTATATATACTTCAGAGCCACTCACTAACACTATTCAGATATGCAGGGAAAATGCTGGCCCTTCATTTTTTTATAGCTTATATGAGCCTCTACTTGCTAGATTATAGAGAAAAGGAAGAGCAAAATTTTCAATTCAGCTTGAACCATGGGCCTAATAACTGAGTCACTCCCTTTGAATTATGCTCAGTAACAAGATAAATACTAGTCTGCCTCATCCTTCCTTCTCCCCCTCCAGCCCCCTTCTCTCTGAGATGCAATGCGGTGTGCAAGAAGGAGGCTTACATACCTGCATGGCAGAGAAAACTCAGGGTCCCTGCACCTCTGGTCTCAGGGATGGCCCTCGCCCATGAGGCAGCTGCTTTTCCTGTGGGCTGTTGGCGTGGCCTGTCTCCCATTCAGCCTAGGCCCTGGTGCAGAAGTTGGCTTTTTAAAAGTTAAGATAAGTGCATTACAATAGCAATGTTATGAGGACAGAAATCAATGATAATGGGTCTGAGGAATCAGCATGTGTGTGTTTCAGAAACACTAGACATGGAGAGTGCATCTGAGAGCCTTTTCATCAAGGATTCCCACGGACGCCTTAACTCTCTAACTACTGTCCTCGGACAAGAAGTGGACCGCTTTAACCAGCTCCTGAAGTTAATACATGTATGAGCACTCGCGTCAACATTGCCTTTGGGTACCAAAGCTTTGTAGAGAAATGTATCATATGAATTTTCCATTCCCATTCAACATTTCCCTTTGGATATGCTAATAACTCCTCAAATGCAACTTGTTTAAAATTGAACTTAACCCTCCTCGGGGCGCCCGGGTGGCGTAGTCGGTTAAGCGTCCGACTTTCGCTTGGGTCATGATCTCGCGGTTCGTGGGTTCGAGCCCCGCGTCGGGCTCTGTGCTGACTGCCAGCTCAGAGCCTGGAGCCTGTTTCAGTCTGTGACTCCCTCTCTCTCTGACCCTCCCCTGCTCACGCTGTCTCTCTCTCTCTCCTAGAAATAAATAAAACATTTAAAAAAAATTAAAAAAAAAAAAAATTGAACTTAACCCTCCTCCAAATAGTCTGTTCCCTTTCTCTAACAATGCCTCATCAGTATGTGACATTATGGACCCCCAGTCTCATCATCCTAACTCATGCCCTTAGAATTAGCAGACTCTAGACCTTTCATCAAGGACCTAAGCACTGAATTCAGAGAGATTCAGAGCTTGGTCTGGATGTCTAGTTTGCATGTAGTAACAGTCTTTATGAAGACTCTGAAAACAGAGTTTCTGCAAGTGTGAGCCACAAAATGCCTGAGTTAGAATCTGCTGTGCTGTGTGTAGATCCCCAATTCCACTCCAGACCTCCTGCGTTCAAATCCCTTGAGAAATTCCTGGGATTATGAATTTTTTTTTATGTTTTTGTTTTTGTTTTTTAATATTTTTATTTATTTCTAGGAGAGAGAGAGAGACAGTGTGAGCAGGGGAGGGTCAGAGAGAGAGGGAGATACAGACTCTGAAACAGGCTCCAGGCTCTGAGCTGGCAGTCAGCACAGAGCCCGACGCGGGGCTCGAACCCACGAACCGTGAGATCATGACCTGGGATTATGAATTTTAAATAAACTCCTGCAGATGATTTCACTGCAACTAAAATTTGAGAACAACTATTTGGGCCTTGGCCTTATGCTCAGGAATTCTTTCTGGATGACCTTGCATGTATAATGATGACTGAAGGCCTCCCTGGTTTCTCTGTGCATAACTCTGATAAGGGAAACACACAAACTATTAGAGACCAAATATTGAGCATTAACTGGAATAGTTTTGCAGCCAAGCAAGGACCAAATACCTAGCACAAAGTCAAGGCTCAGTGAGGAGATTGGGGAGGACAACTGGGACAAATCTTTTAAAGCCAAACAGTCTCCTCATTAGAAAAGCAGTCTCCCAGTGTTGCGCATTGGCTAGCAATACTTAGGCTTGTGGGTTAGGCGGGCCCTGGGTCAGCTGAATGTGCAAGGTGCCCACCTCGGGACTATGGTATCTAGTCAGCTACATACCAGTGTCAGCAGGCCAGGTAGCTAGGTCAGGGGTTAGCACCTCCTGTACAGAATGAGCCAGGACAGAGATGAGGCTGCTGTGAAGCCCTCCAAATACAATGGCCAAAACAAGATAAGAATTCACTTCCCTCTCTGCTAATAGCCCAGAGGACGTTCTAAAGGGCAGGTAGTTAATCTTGCTTTGTGAGCTCTCTAGGGATCCCAGCTGGAGGGCTGGCTCTTTCAGCCTCAACAGGGAGCTTGTACCTCTGGGCCCAAGGTGGCTGCTCCTATAGTTCCCTTTTGCCAGCCAGTGGGACAGGGGAAAGAGAGGGCTGAGAGAAAGCAGGCTCCTCATAAGAATGTGGCCCAGAAGTTGCATACATCATTTTTTCTTGTACCCCTTTAGCCAAAATTTGGTCACATGGCCATACCCCAGGTGCAAGTGTGGCTGGGAAATACAGTCTCTATATGGGATTGCTAAATCCCATTGGTGCCCAGCTAAAACTAAGAAGTACTATTGTTCAGAGACAGACATGAACCCTGCTCATGTCTTGCCTTTTCCACATCATGACCTTCCACTTACTTGATGATAAACAAATCCTACTGTCACTTCCTCCAAAAAGTCTTCCTGACACACCAGCCTATCCTTCCCCCATCAGATAACTTAGGTGCCCTCCTCAGGGCTCCATCATTTCAGGTGTCTGTGTCTATCACTATACTCACCAAATTACCTGGTAATTACCCCCTCAATGGGGATGGCTCCCCCGTTAGACAACGAACTTCTTAAATAGAAGGAAACTAGTTATATTAGTCATCTTTGTTCCCCTAGTCCCTGACACATACTAAATCTTCAAGAATCTTTGAATGTACGAGTGAAAGAGTGTGACTCTCAGGTGTCCTTGTGGTCACTACTTCTGGTCAAATGTTACTGTGTGCCAATAATGAAGGACCCCACCTACAGGAAGGAGGAGAGGGAAGAGTCCTAGAAGCAGCAGCCTGCAAGGCAAGCAGGAATCACAGATCTGAGGGAGGGGTGGTGCCCCCCTCCATCCTGACCTCTGCCCAGCCTAATCCCTCCCTCTCTGGAACCTTCTGTAAGTCGTCTCTGTGAGTCTTCTGCCACCTTTTTCCATTTTCGGCGTCTAAGGTAGAATACTGTTTCAGCCCTGGCTGAGGGCCTCCTTGCTCTACAAGGCTACAAATCGTTCCTCAGATCATATGGGCAAATCAGATTAAAACCTTCTTACCACTGCATCTCATGAACAGAGATGGGGAGGTGGGGAATAACTCTATGAAGGAATGAAGGCTGACATATTGCCCATCTCTAGAACTATGTGCATATGGTCCTGGCCCTTGTTTTGTTTTTGAATCAACATAAATTTGGCCTCTAACATTTTTCTATAATATTTTCCCAGTATACAGCACTGGTTTACACAAAACCGGAACCCATCCAGACCGTACCGATCTATATGCCCCGCCTTCATCTTTAGCCAAGTAACAAATATTACCCTGTACTTCCCAGGGCTCCTGGTAGCCCAGCATCTCCTGGGACTACTGCCTGCCTCTGTCTTTTGTTGTGGGGAGCAGAGGGTAAGGGGCATGTCTTAAGGAAGTGTTTCCAGAACAAGGAAACTCCGGTACTAGCTAAAAGACTGGTCTCATCTAAGAATCTCCCATCTCTGCTGCAACTTCAGAGGCCATGGGCAGCCCCTGGGCAGAAACAGCCAGTGATATGAGGCAGTTCCCACTACCACCCCCATCATTCCCAAATAACTCTCAGGCCCATTTTTCCTTCAGCCTGGAGGAGAGCTACTCAATGGTATTTCCTGAAACCCCTTCTCTAGGCTTCAGGGGATATTTCTCCTCCTTCCCTCTTTCCACTTAATTGGATTCTGCTATTTACAGTCTGAACCATCCCCAACCCCCAGGTGTTACACCCCTATGGTCACCTGTTGTAGAAATGGATGAAAGATTGAAGAGTCTGGCCCAACAGACAGTGGGCAGAAAGGATGGAGCCCGGCAAGCGGGACCTTCAGCCCAAGGCAGTACCTGCTGCCACAAATGAGTGGCACTCTCACTAGACAATTATATCTGTGGGGGCGACTGCGTGGCTCAGTCAGTTAGGCATCCAACTTCTGCTCCGGTCATGATGTCACAGTACATGAGGTGGAGCCCCGCATCGGGCTCTGTGCTGACAGCTCAGAGCCTGGAGCCTGCTTTGGATTCTTTGTCTCCATCTCTCTCTGCCCCTCCCCCGCTCATGCTCTGTCTCTCTCAAAAATAAACATAAAAGAAAATTATATCTGAGACAGGCACCTTCCCATTATTGTGCTTTCAGACATCTATGGAGACACTCAGCAAAGCTATTGCTGGCCTTGTGGTAATGTCTGAGGAAATGGAGAAGGTGTACAACAGTTTCCTCAACAACCAAGTTCCCGCTCTGTGGTCCACCACAGCCTACCCGTCCCTGAAGCCACTAGGATCATGGGTCAAAGACCTTATCCTGAGGACTGCGTTTGTGGACGTAAGAAAATTCACTTCTTTGGGTTTGATGAACACAGTAGGCCTTAAGGTCCTTAGGAAGCCCTAGCTAACTGAAATATTAACAAATCTTGAGGGATCACCTGAGCCCTAAGAAATAGAAACTTCCAGAATGGCATCAGTTTGAAAGTCATGCTCATTAAAAGGTAAGGGCCCTTGGCCCTTATGCCCGTATCCCGCTTTAATTCCAGTCCAACTCTGGAGTTTCAGATCTTGTTCGTGGGATCCCACTGTGAGGTACAGAACCAATCTGACATGGGTCCGGACTGCTAGGTGTGGCCTTGCTGCGGTCTTCCCTCTTCCACACCCCCTACAGTAACCAGGTTCTGGATTTATGGTCAGGCTATTGGGCGAGGAAGGGGGACAGACAGGCAGGAGAATGAGGCTGGTGGCTAAGATTCTGTCTCCTGAGAGGCCCTCCGAAGTATGATTTTGACTTAAATGACAAACTCCACTTCAGAAGAACAATACATTATGGTGTGACATTTCTCCTTTAGTTGTGGCTCAAAAGAGGGCAGCCTAAGTCCTTCTGGATCTCCGGTTTCTTCTTTCCTCAAGGATTTCTAACAGGTAAGGACCAGTGCTTTCCCGAGAAAAGTCCCACCAAAGATCATGATTTGTTACATGCTGGGTTTCTAAGAACTAGGGGATTACTAGTTATAGGGCAGTTCACCAAGGCCCTGCTCGTTCTCACTTGCTGGGGAAAAGGCTGGCAGGAATCACAGACGCTCCCCAACAATCTAACCCCTGCCCCTCTCGGGCTGTGCAAGTTCAAGCACCACTGGTGCTGTGAACACCCACGGCACGCCCCAGTTCCCCACGTGACCCATGCTGGACGGCGCCGCCTACTCTCCACCTGCCCCAGCCCCACCTCAGAGCAGCTTCCTTCCCTCTAAAAACATTCCTGTCAACCTTCTATCGGCCCTCAAGGACTCCAGCTGGAGGACCCAGCCCTAATCTGTCTCATTCTGAATCCTTCAGATCTCCTTCACTGGCTTATCCGCCTCACTGGCAGAACTGTGCACTTGAACCGTGGCCTTCTTCCCTCTCTTCCCAGCTGTGCCATGGCCCCACCCCACCCAAGATTACCACAGGCTTCCTGCCTGATGAGCTAATTCAGAATAAGGTGTTAATGGTTGGGACTTCTCAACGGAGAGGAAGCTCTCAGAATGCTAGTGTGGCCTGGCTGAGGCAAGCAGAGGCCACGTTTGAGAAGTGGCAATGTTATTTGGAGAACCCAGCTTTCTGGTTTTCATTTTCATAGGAACGCTTCAAAATCATGCTCGGAAATACAATTTGCCTATAGATGAGCTGAGTTTCAAGTACAACATGATTCCTATCTATCGGGATCAAGCTACAGTCATAGAAGCTGCCAAGACAGTGCAATTTGGACAAGAATTGCCCATGGACTTGGAGGTACTGTTCCCTGACTAGTTACAGCAAAGCAGCTCTGTCTCACTGCCATTCAATATCTCAGCCAACCTCCCCTACCTACTCCCCCACTGCCTCCCACATCCAGGAGCATGAGAGGCAGGACAAGGCTCTCACCCCTCGGACAAACTCCCCAATCTGCACTGACTTGACAGGAACTGCCTAAAGAGATGTTTTTTAAAGTAAAACTGTTTATTTCTTTAGATACCTACAGCAACTCTTTCTTATGGAGAAAGAGGTTAAATATAACATCTTTAACAAGATGTTAAAAACGAGGTTTCAGAATCAGGCAGGCCTGAGTTTAAATTCTGACTTTCCGCCTTTGCAGCTGCGTGTGCTAGAATGATGACTAACACGTCTGCATCTCAGTGTTCTCATCTGTAAAGTGGGGCCAATGCCACCAAACTCAGAGCTGCAATGCAGTGTAAATGAACGAGCACATAATGCTCCCACAATAAACAACTATTATTATAGGCTGGACTTATTTGCCATTCACTCAATTGCCTCCTAGAGGAACTGATATACTAACTTCATACATTATATAACCATAAATACATGGCGTAACTAATAAGGATGCACTAAGGAAGCAGTTTAAACTCTTTGCTTACATAGTTTCCTTCTTCTAGAGCAGAAGTTCTCCAAATGTGGTTCCAAAACCAGGAGCACTGGCATCACCTGGGAACTTACTAGAAATGAAAATTCCAAGGACCTGTTCCAGATCTACTGAATCAGAAACTCCAGGCTGAGACCCAAAAATCTGTACTGTAACAAGTCCTACATGGGGTTCTTAGCCCACTAAATTTTGAGAACCACTGCTCTAGAATATCAGTGATTCTCAACCTTAACTGCAGGTCAGAATCACCAGTGGAGCTTTAAAAAAAAAAAAAAAAAAAAAAACAATGCCCATGGGGGCACCTGGGAGGCTCAGTCTGACTCAAGAGTGTCTGACTCTTTTGATTTTGGCTCAGGTCATGATCCCAGGGTCATGGCATTGAGCTCCGTACTGAGCTCTGTGCTGGATGTGGAGCTGGCTGGGGATGCTCTCCCTCTCCCTCCCTCGGTCCCTCCCCCCCTCATAAAGTTTTTTAAAAATCCAATGCCCAGACTACATCCCACTTACATCAGAATCTCCCCCAATATCATTAGGCATCATTACTTTCCAAAGTTCCCTGGTGACTCCAGTGTCCCGCCAGGGATGAGAACGATAGCTGCCAATCTGAGCCGCCCAGCTTCCATGTGCTGAGGTGCAAAGGGGCATGCAGCTCTGCCTCAGCATGCCTGTCCACACGGGGGGGGGGGGGGGGGGGGGGCTCAGAAACGTAACTTTCTAGGCTGCCACAAAATCAAAGATCTGCTCCAGACTGCTTTTCCCAAGACAGTGTTCACTCACAAATCAGTGTAGTCGTGGTGAATGGCTTTACTGAATATTCCTTAGAGTATCCTGGCATTAGTTAGTAGAAATTGCTCCTGCGTATTTCCATCGGTATCCACTCCACTCAGACCTGACTGATCTCTTTCCTCTCACTAGCAAAAACTTACAAAGACCAAATTGATCCCATATTCACGGCTTACTTTGTGAAGTACTATAATATCCCATGCCTCTTAATTGCCTCTGTCTTAAAATAACAATAAAAAAGCTCCCATTTTTAAGAACATTTGTTTAACATGAAAATACTTTTGGGGAGGGGCGCCTGGGTGGCTTGGTCAGTTAGGCTCAGGTCATGATGTCACGGTTCATGGGTTTGAGCCCCACTTCGGGCTCTGTGCTGACAGCTAGCTCAGCCTGGAGCCTGTCTCTGGATTCTATGTTTCCCTCTCTCTCTGACCCTCCCCTGTTCATGCTGTCTCTATCTCTCTCTCAGAAATAAATAAATAAATATTTTTTTAAAAAAAATTTTAATAAAATAAAAATAAAATACTTTTGGGGGCACAGGGCAGCTCAGTCAATTAAGCGGCAACTTTGGCTCGGGTCATTATCTCAGTTTGGTTCGTGAGTTTGAGCCCCTCGACGGGCTCTGTGCTAACAGCTCGAAGCCTAAAGCCTGCTTCAGATTCTGTGTCTCCCTCTCTCTGTCCCTCCCCCCTTGCACTCTGTCTCTGTCTTTCTCTCTCAAAAATAAACATAGAAAAAAATTTTTTTAATCTTTTTTAAAATACTTTTTTTTAAGTTTACTTATTTTGAGAACAAGCAGGGGAGGGGCAGAGAGAGAATCCCAAGCAGGCTCCACACTGTCAGCACAGAGCCCAATGTGGGGCTCAGTCTCACCATGAGATCATAACCTGAGCCAAAATCAAGAGTCAGCAGCCTGACTGGGCCACCCAGGCACCCCACAAAATACTTTTTAAAGAGAAAATAAATTTAGAGTTGCACTCATTATTTAGAGACCCTTCTTATCCAGGAGGGTGTCCTGGGCCCATCTCTGGAATAATTGAGGCTGCAGGAAAGCAGAACACCCCCACACACACATAAAAGCCCCCACCAAAGCCTTCCAGGATGCTGGCCCTGCTCTGTACCTGCCACATTTCTTACATGCCACGTAAGGCTGACTCTGACAGACAGAAGTTTACATTGACCACGAGGGCCCCTGTCCCTCCACCTTGCCCCAATCCGTACCACATCTCCGCTCGGGTCACGTGCACTGCGCCCTGACAATGCCTCAGCATTCCTTCTGCCTTCTGTGGAGACATCAGACTGTATAGTTGGCCCACCTCCTGGTATTCCCAGCAAACGTCTGCGAGAGACTGTGCTCAGACAGCTTTAGTTCTTTTACAAACAAGCAGGGCCACTGTCAGCCCATTTGCCACCTTTGTCCAGTTTAGGAAAAGACATTCCCTCTGGCTGGGTGCCCACAGGGGCCCCACACACGGTCTGGCAAGGGGACAGCAGGTTGGTTTCCAGCCTCCACTAAGGCGAACCTGCACAAATGTGCACTGCAGCCCCCAAAAGAGCCCCCAAAACCTGCCACCCCCCACCTAGCCGAGAGACAAGGCTTGGAACACAGGAACGTAAAGACCAGCCAGAAAGAGCTTGCCATCCTTTCAATCTCTATAAAAATATACTACCTATGTTCATACAGCATGGCCATCTGCCTGCAGGTACACGGCGCCAATTCACCAAAAGAAAATGGCTCCACAAGTGGCCAAATTCACTGTCTGAGAAAGGCTGACACGGAAGCCCA